AAGTTTTAGATTTTAAATAGGCTGTATACATTTCAAATTTAGCAACAGGACGGTCAAATGCTGATTTTACTACAGAGCAGGACGGATTGTAGGGTAGCAAACATCGTCGGAAAACACGTTTTCAACACTGCAGGTTACCTGGTGTAATGTTTTTCAGCTAAAAAGAAACATGGTCTGACTCCTACCAACTATATAAAGAGTAACTGAAGGTTAAATGCAGCTAACATGTCCTGTTTTAAAGCAGACACTTCCACCTCCGCTCTGCTGCGTCTCAGCTCTGGCAGAAAGGGCGCTAGAGCCAGAGCAGGGGAGAGCTGGAACAAACCATTTTGGGAGGGGATTTGCATTTCACTTTCAGGAAATGACCAGCTGATTGCCAGAGTTTCTTCTGTGTGACCACATGGCACAGGTCAGCCGGGGGTCCATCTCAATCTAATCGATGCATGTCAGTCTAGTTCGTCGCTGTGACTCGCTGATTTGTTTCTGTGATGAGTTGGGGAGCAGCGAGTAAGTCAAGTTTAATCAATGTGTCAGAGCTTCAGCTGATCGGTCAGCTGATGAAGGCCAAAAAGCCACACCGTTATTTCTTATACAGCAGCGAGCTCAGTGTTAGCTTTTACAGTTTTTACATTCATTCATAAATCCATCTCGGTGAAAAGACTCGCAGCGCCACAGGTTCTTCACCTGAAAGGACGCCCGGCCAGTCACTCAGGTGTCGCTCTGACTTTTCTCATCAGTCATGCAGATAAAAGAAAGTTTGGAGCTTCGACACTTTTCATTCTTTGTCTGCATGAACAGTGAGCTCCACCTGCTGTTGACCTCATTTACTCAGACTGGTAAACACAGAAAAATAATAACTCCTGTGTTTCATTCAGAAAAAACTATTAGGTGGGTGTTTTCAGGGTTAATTTATAATGACGGGCTCCACTATGTGTGGATGGAGGCTGTCGTGATCACAGGGAGGATTTGATTTGATCCTTTGTGATCTTATTTATTCAGACTTTTTCATCTCAGTGTAATTATTCATCATGTTTCAGATATTAAAGTTCATTTCCTGCTGCTGGAGCTTAAAGACAGGATCAGTTCGTCTGTGTGTGTGTGTGTGTGTGTGTGTGTGTGTTGAGTTAAAAGAATAATTGGTTTCCTCCTCGGTGATGACATCCCGCCCTCCAGCTCTAACCTCGTTCATGTGTGTGCAGAGAGGTGCTCGTCATGTGACGGCGTAACAGCGAAACACTTGTAATAATGAGGCTTTCATTTGTCTCTATAAACACAGTGTGTGTGTGTGTGAGTGTGTCGACACACTGGAACGTCGCTCTGCATAAATGAGCAGATTAAAGACGATCGGAGGCTGAAAGCTCCTTCACAGAAATGACTTCCCCTCTCATGGTGTGCGTAACACACACACACAGAGCTGGCAGTAACCTGACAGTCACAGTGTGTAAAACTGGCCGTAAATCACAGTTCATAACATTTATTTGTGATCCAAGAAATGATATTGGTAACGGTGAAAGGACAGAGGAGAGAGAAAGGGAGGAAGGATGAGGGGGGAAACAAGAAAAAGGAGAAAAATGGAGAAGTGAGAACAAAGGAGGATTAGAGGAAAGAGAAGAAGAGAAAAGAGAGAAAATGCATGCAGGGTAAGAGAAAAAGAAGGAGTGATTGATGGGCAACAATTAGAAGGAGGGATAGAATGAACAGAGCATGGAGAAAAGCAGAGTGGACGGATGCAGGGATGGAGGAGAGGAGGAAGAGGCGAGGAAGAGGATGAAGGGGGCGGGGTTAATTGAAAAGCCTCCTGAAGAAGTTTGTAATGAAAAGCAGCAGATTAACTGAGAGTGTGTTTAATTAAGATAAAGACTAAATGAAGCATTGTTCTGTCACTGCCTGATTACACGCACACGAACACACACACGCACACACAAACATGCACGCACACACACACACACACGCATACACACACAAACATGCACGGGCACGCACACACAGTGGCAGCTGTTTATTGAGCTGCATTTAACACTAAAACTGCTCATTGAAGTGAAATGCTTCAGTTTTTAAGAGGCCCAGAGAATGTGTGTGTGTGTGTGTGTGTGTGTGTGTGTGTGCTCTGTGAGGTGTAACTGAGCTCTGATTAACATAAACACTGTTTAAATCTTCCAGTTCAGGTACAAACACACAGAAACAGAGGGACCCCTGCTGATGTTTACAAGCTGTGATTGTTACTGATCTCTGCACTGCATGCTTTCTCTATGCAGATGACACCCAGCTCTATCTGTCCATGAAGCCAGATAACACACACCAATGAGTTAAACTGCAGGAATGTCTTAAAGACATAAAGACCTGGATGGCCGCTAACTTTCTGCTTCTTAATTCAGATCAAACTGAGCTTATTGTACTCGGCCCTGAAAATGTTAGAAATATGGTATCTAACCAGATTCTTACTCTGGATAGCATTACCTTGGCCTCCAGTAACACTGTGAGGATTTTTACAGGTTTCTTCCTGTTAAAAGGGAGTTTTTCCTTCTCACTGTCACCAAGCTCTTGCTCATAGGTCATTTGATTATTGGGGTTTTGCTGTGTTGTTGTAGGGTCTTTACCTTACAGTATGAAGCACCTGGAGGTGGTTGCTGTTGCATTTTGGTGCTATATGAATAACATAATATTAAACAGAATTCATTAGAGCTGTTGAAAATGTTCCTGCAGCCTGTTCACAAGTGACACTGGCAACACGACTTCATCGGCTTTTGTTACGGACCTCATGTTCTCCTCTTCTTCTTTCAGGAGGTGCTGTTGAAGAGAGCAGCAGACCTGGTGGAGGCGCTCTACGGAATGCCTCATAATAACCAGGTAAGCTGCTCACCTGTCTACACACATCAGCTGACATCACTGTGTTTACCTGTGCAGGTGACCCGTATTAACAGATTCTTGTTCATATATTCAATTCAATTTTATTTATATAGCGCCAAACCACAACAAAAGTCGCCTCAAGGTGCTTTATATTGTACAGTAGATCGCACAATATTGAGTCTAAAGGCTGACCGGAGACGAGGTGTGCGCACAAGCTGTGGCTGCAAGTGCAACATACACGACGTCATGTGGCGTCGGCTCGTGTCCACACACCGAGGACGCCGCTTCAGTTTGAATCCGTTTGAATCTTTGTGTCTTTGAGGAGGAACACGAGTAGAAAATAAAGAATGAGGTGACACAAATAGGAAGTGTTCACTGTTAAGTTAAACTCTGTGAATAAACTTAGTGAAACAAGCTGTGAGCGTGTCTGTTAACCCAGGAAACAGTGCTTCAGATTTATTAGACAATTAAAAAAAATGTAATCTGTCAAAACGTGTTTTAAACTAAGAATGATGTCATTATTTATTCATCAAACAACAAAATTAATTCATGTTTTTATACCCAAATAAGAGCCGGCACAGAATTGAATTCAACCACTCAAATGGATGAAGACAAACTGAACGCTGAGAGCGAAACACAGCTGAAGTACCTCCACCTGTCCAGCAGAGCGCTACTGATCCACGTTATCACGTCTGGTTTCAAAAACTCTGTGATGTCATCTTTTACTTACAGTCATTGTGTCGAAACCAGCGCACCGCCTTTTGCTCTGAGACGTCACCATGTTTTCACTTCAGTGGTTTGAGCAGCTTCAGCTTCATGGACATGAGTGGAAACAAACTGTCTACGATAAGAGCTGCACGAGTCTCACAGAGAGAATATTTATTCATTTTTACACAGTTTTACTGGATTGGCCAATCACAGGAAGGACAGTCAGCGAACCAATAATCATGTTTTACAGATTATTGATGGCATCATCATCAGACTGTCTCACAGTTCAAACCGGAGCTTCTTTAACTTCACATGAAGCTCATTAAACAGGACAGACTTCCTCCTCCCCCTCCTCCCCTCCTCACCACCTCCTTCAGGTTTAGGAGTCACAGCCTCCTGAAACACTGAAACACTGGCAGAGGAGGAGGAGGAGGAGGGAGCTCTTTATATCCCCCATCCTCCCCAACAGAGTCTCTCCGACACGCTTCTCAACCCACCAGTTAATCACACACACACACACACCACACACACACACACACACACACACACAGGTCTATTGAAATGAAAGCGTAACCTTGAACAGAGTGCAGAGCCTGTAAACAAATGTAAATCCAAATGTAGTGATAATAATAATAACTCTGTGTGTGTGTAAACTGAACATGTGTGTTTTTAGAGTCTTGAGCTGTTTAAGTATAACGAGCCGCTCTCAGGATCTTTAGCGCATGTCAGACAGACATCAGAGTGCCCCCTGCAGGCTGGTCAGTGAAGTATCGTGGATCGTTACCCTCAATTACACTGGAAAAAAAGACAAAGAAGAGAAAGATGGTGGCAGTAACAATATAATGACCTCAGTGTGATGAGATAAAATCAAAAATAAACTGACTGAAATCAGAAATCACAGAAATACAATAAAGTGCCTTAGACTGAAAACTGCATGCTAGGGTTAGAAAACATGAACTCTGCTGTTTTTCACTATATTTCACTACCAGAAGACAACACTGCAGGCATTGAGGGCAGCTGCAAGTACCTGGGGATCCCGCAGGCGAATGGGAACCATGAAGAGGCCGCTAGGAAAGCTGCAACCACCAAGTACCTGCAGAGGGTCA